GCCAGCATCCCATATGGGCGCCAGTTCGAGTCCCAGCTGCTCCACTTCTGATCCAGTTCTCTGCTATGGCCTGGGAAAGCAGTAGAAGATGGCCTAAGTCCTTGGGCCCCTGCACCCACATGGGAGACCCGGAGGAGGCTCCTGGCCCCTGGCTTCGGATCGGCACAGTTCTGGCCATTGCGGTCATTTGGGGAGTGAACCATCGGATGAAAGACCTCCCCCTCCCCCTCCCCCTCCCTCTTCCTCTGTGTAACTCTGACTTTCAGATAAATCAATAAATTTAAAAAATACTTTAATGTGGCTTACATGGTCCCAGATAAAATAACATCTTCAGGTTTTTCTTTCTGTTCTTCCCAATCCAGTTGCACTGGCTGGCTTTTAATAACTTGAATATATCAAGTTTCTTCTTGCCTCAGGGGCTGTGTTGACTATCTACTCTGCTTGATATGTCCTTCACAGCTCTTTTCTTCCTACTAATTTTATTATTTCATGCCCAGCATAAATTTCACTTCCTTTGGAAAGTCTTATGTGATATCCCCAGTCCAGGTGAAATTACCTTTACAGTATTCTATATTCTTCTTTCTTAGGACTTACCACAATTATAATTTCTTGAATGGGACTGCTTATCTGTATGTCCCACTAAGCTGTAACTCTGTGATGGTAGTGACTGTTTTATTCATCTTAATGTTTAGCATAGGAGTCTCGCTCATAATAAAAGCACACAGTGAAATTTTTTTTAATTAACTGAATGAATAGCTTTCAACAAAGTGAAACAGTGACAAATAGTAAAACTAATTTGTTTTTTATAGCATTTCATTTAGATAGAAGAAATTCACCACCAAATAGTTTGACACCGTGTCTAAAGATTCGAAATATGTTTGATCCAGTTATGTAAGTATTATGATTAGGGGTTCAAATAAATTTTATTTGAAATAAATGCATGATAATCTTATAGTACTGTGTCTATAACTGAAAATCCACTTTCCTTCTGAATTTCTAACTACAGGAACGTTATGTTTTTCTGTTTTCTTTTGTTCAATTCTAAGCAAAGACACAGATGTATAAAGATTTATAAAATGTATATAAGTCTTTGTATTCACTGTTGCTCCTCAAAGCAGATAAATACTTAAGGTACCTTAATAATAGTAATAATACAGTGGCAAACAATACCCTCTATTAAGTATATAAGTCATGTTAAACACAATGACTAACATTTTTGCCTCAGTAGGAAATATAGATTTTAAATTCATTTTTCATTTTATTTGATAGCAGCTAGACAGAAATAGAGAATTTCTATCCTCTGGTTTACTCTCCAAATGCCTGCAGCAGCCAGGACTAAGCCCGGCTGGAGCTATGACCACAGAGCTTATCCCAGGTCTCTCCTGTGTGGGTGTCAGGGAGTACTTGAGCCATTATATGCTGCCTTCCAGGATGCTCACTGGTAGCAACCCAGGTCAGAAGTAGAGGAACTGGAACTTGACCAGGCACTCTGAATTGGAATGTTGGCATTCCAAGTGGCATTTTAACTGCTATGTCAAATGTCTGCCCCCTAGAATACCTGGTTTTTAAATGCTTTCAATCTCTAATTATAAAAAAATTCCCTAAAGATGTATACATCTTTTTCTCTGCGTGGCAGTGTAATATTTGATAAACTTTTTGCTGTATAATTGCAGCAACACATACATCCAGAGAATAATACAGTCAGAAGTTACTGCCCTTGAGTCTATAATAATTTTTTAAAATTAGCTTCCTGGAGGCCAATGCTTATCTGTCTAAGATAAGACAAATCATATTTTACTTTTCTAAATCCTGGCAGTAGAAATTTCATTACATATAAAATATTCCTGAGTTCCATCTTATAGTTCATTTATTTAAAAAATAATTGATATGATAAGATGCCTAATAAAGGACAACAAAATTGGAAACGTAGGGGAACAACTGCTAGTGCATACACACATGAACCGTTTATTTTACAGAGAGAAAAATAATTAACAGTGTGGTAGTGCCCCTATTGTGAGCTTATGTCATACTTTAGGATTAAGGATCAATGCCAAACCAATATTTTGTTACCTGAGATATAGACTCATGATTTTAAAGTTTAGAAACTTGAAAATATTATAAAGGAAATAATATTCATCTGTTACAGCTTCTGCAACCTTAATGAATTTACAACTTATTAAGTACTTGTTTATACTAGTCTAGAAGGAAAAAGAACTGCAACTACATAGGATTTTAAAAAGAAATGCAACTCTTGTTCTACTGTGGTAGGCTAATCCTTTATGGTCTCACCTGTGTACTCTTTCACTGGAAAGTGAGATAAGGACTGAGACTTCTGAATACTGATTTTTTTTCCCCTTAAAATCCACCTGTTACTCAACAAGCATTAATTTACTACTAATTTTAGCAATATGTGATTTTCAAGTTATACTAATTCTAGTAGAATATATGTTAAGCCTTTTTACTGAGTAGGATTATGGTTGTTGACTTTTGTTTTCATTAATTTTTAGGGAAATAGGGGATCAGTGGCATTTGGCAATTCAAGAAGCAATTTTAGAAAAATGCAGTGATAATGATGGCATTGTTCACATTGCAGTTGACAAAAATTCCCGGGAGGTAAAGTGACTTTTAGTATTGAATTCCACGTTTTGAAATTGTTGTTACTAAACTAAGACTTTCTTTCTTTTTTTTTTTTTTTTCTTTTATATCACAGGGTTGTGTCTATGTTAAATGTCTATCTCCAGAATATGCTGGCAAGGCTTTTAAGGCATTGCATGGCTCTTGGTTTGATGGTAAGAATTTTGAGTGTTACAAATATTTTTTAAAGATAATTATGATGTTATGTTAAACTATACCAAAAAAGAATTTTAGGCTTGCATTTTTCAACTAATAATTTTAGATAATTTAGTGTTTTATGTTCATGTGTATTTTACTCTAGTTAATTTTCTGCAAATGTTGAGCACAGTTGTATAGATCTAAAATATTATTTTTATCTTACAACAGGGAAATTGGTTACAGTAAAATATTTACGACTAGATAGATATCACCATCGCTTTCCCCAAGCTCTTACTTGCAACACTCCCTTGAAGCCATCAAATAAACATATGAACTCTATGTCTCATCTTCGTCTTCGGACTGGCCTAGCCAATTCTCAAGGTGGTTCCTGAAAAGACTCTCTTCCACTCCTAGGACTGTTATTTACAATAAGAAAATCCTGTTTGGCTTCCCATCTTCCTTTTTAAATGCTTTTGTATGTAATAGTTTTATTGATGAATACAGTTCTGTTGGAATGTTCCAGAAATCTTAAGGCTTCAAAGGGATTTAGCAGTGAGGCAGCAATACTGAGTAGGTAGAATAATTGTTTTATTCAGTCTTTGGAGCTCAGTTAAGCCAGTGCATTTATAAAGTTTTGCATGAGGAACATTAACTTTATTAAGCATTTCAGATGTGGTTATATTTTTGCACCAGAAGTATTTGGATAACCACACAAAAGCATGGTGAAGAGGCTATTTGTATTTCCATAATTTCTAGTGAACTAATGTTGTGAATTTTTGTATACAGTCACCTGCATAGCTCCTTACGGGCCAATGTTGTAAAAGTGTTAATTTCCCAGTTTAACGTTAGGTTTCTATTGCTTGTAAGAGATTCATTTGCTACAGCTGGAATATGGGAGTATTAATTTGGGTTTAGTGGTTACATATATGTGTAAGTGGATGTACATGTACTTAAAACTGGCTTTTGTATATATGTATAAATGCTGGTGTTGGAGAAAGTAAGTGTTGTGAGGATGTCTGCATTAAAGCAGTAAAATAAGCTTTCTATTTTATTCATAATCTAATGTATGTATATATGTATGTGTATATATGTGTGTGTGTATAAGTGTACACACATATATACATATGGCTGTACTATTACATAGATCAAACAGCCAAACACCTGGAAGTATTAGAAACAAGTTTAAAATATCTTTTATAGGTTTTATATGAAAATGTCTCTGAGTATGATTTTGTGTGAAAGTTCTGATACCAGTTGTAATTGACTCAAATTTATGTGAGCAATAAAGAAGCAATTGGCAGATACTGGAAAAATATTTTGTGAAAAACTATTTATTATAAATACTAGGTCTGTGACATAGTACTATTGGGATTAAATCATTTTCCTAGTCTATTTATAATTTAATAAAATGTTAGCTCCCCACTTAAATGTTAAGTTTAAAACAGGGCACATTGTTGCAGTAAATTGTATTAAGCAAATTATACTTGGAATTTTGGGTCAAGAAAGTTTGCAAGATGGTAAATGCACAAATGATCTTTGTGCCTCAGTGTTTAATTTGGTTTCTGTAAAGTTCATTTATTACTGTTTATGATTTCAGATTAGAATAGTTGCTGAGCAAAGTTTACTTCTGAAGTCTAACAATTGGCCTTTAAAACAAATAACCTGTTGGTATATCATTGTCAGTCCAAATGAATATGTGAAACAGCTGGAATTGTACCTATTTTGTATTTTGTTAAAACTCAGTTTCCTTTTTGTTATGTTGTATATGTGTTGGGTTTGCAGCATGAACTTGCACAGATAATGCACGTTTTCTGGTTAAGTAAACATGATGCACACTATTCTGTAACAGAAAAACCCTATTGTGCCTTACCTGTGTGCTTTTGTGGGCACCATGTTTATGAAGAATTTAAAAAAAATGATTTGTTATCTGAAGAGAATAAATTTTAAATTCTCAGTTTATGTCTCAGATGCTAATGTGTGAAAATATAAATATATATAATATATAAAATAACCGATCTTTCTGTATTTTATGTGCATCATAGTGATTTATCTGAGCTTAGTGACCCCATCTTGTAACCTATTGCAAGAGTGAATGTAAAAAGTAAATGTGGCATTTTAAAAGGTCACCTTTTGATGCAGATGCATCTTTTTCTTGCTTCTAAAACATATTTCATGTAAACATTGTACATTTATTATTGTAATATATGCTATTATACAGCTTATTTTACCTGCAACTGTTAAGCCAGCCAAGATTCTTCCCTGCAAGACAGATGGGAATGTGTATAATAACTAGATATTTGAGAAGTTCTGAAGTTTGATGTAATCTGTTACTGTCCTGTTTAAAAAAAAGGAAAAAAATTCTAATTAAAACTTTATTAGGTTTTTTTTTAATGTGTCTTGACTTTTAAACAACTTTTTAAAGTGCTCCGTGTCTTTATTTCTTACCAGTGAGAATAGGTGCCTTTGTTTCATTTTATTTCGGGATCAGTGAATATGTGTATGTTCATAAAGATGGGTGAAGACCCTGGAGTTAATTTTAACCATCCTTTCCTCAACATCATTCTTTTAGTGTTTGAATCAAAGTAGAGCAAGAATATAAATCAGCTGCATCACTAAGCACTGTTTAGTACAGCTAGACACTTTTTATAGAAAGGCTTTCTTTAAAAAAGGATTTTGTGTTGTTTTTACATATTCTGGCTCAAACTCTGTCTACTTTGACTAGCATTGGTTTAAATTTTTTGATGTTTTAATCAAGTAAAAAGAGGACTTGATTAGTCAGTCATGTGGTAGACTTAGCAATTGCTAACAAACGCCAGGCAATGTCATGTGTTGGGAATACGAAGATGAAAAACACATGTTTCAGTCCTCAAGATGGTCACAGTCTAGAGGAAGTACAGAGGGCAAATAAGTTAAATGATAGTGTGGAAAATATAGTGTGAGAGAAGTAGGTAGAGGGAGTTCTGGGAGTACAGAGACACACCTTATTCATCTTAAATTAGAAAAAACAGAGTAGTTGAGGTAACCAGTCATTTTTAATTTAGTTTAATATTTACTCAGTACCTCTTAATTAGTATGGATGAAATGAAAAATCTTCAGCTCTTAAGAGAGCTTCTGTTTTGTGATGAGGCTAAAAGTTATTGTATTTAAAAAAGTTAGTGTAGGGCCGGCGCCGTGGCTCAATAGGCTAATCCTCCACCTGTGGCGCCAGCACGCTGGGTTCTATGTCCTGGTTGTCCCTTTTCCAGGCCAGCTCTCTGCTGTGGCCAGGGAGTGCAGTGGAGGATGGCCCAAGTCCTTGGGTCCTGCACCCCATGGGAGACCAGGAGAAGCACCTGGCTCCTGCCTTCGGATCAGCGTGGTGCGCTGGCTGCAGCAGCCATTGGAGGGTGAACCAACGGCAAAAGGAAGACCTTTCTCTCTGTCTCTCTCTCACTGTCCACTCTGCCTGCCAAAAAAAAAAAAAAAGTGTAGTGAGCCTGTGTCATGATAAAATCATTATGCATATTCACTGGTGTGTAAATTCCTGAATATCTTGGATTAATGAAGCCTGATATTGGATTTCATTATATTTTCCTTGTGTTTATAATTTGAATGACAAGTTATGATTCCATGTGAATAGTAGTTAGATGTGTCATATCCCCAGAATACTCCCTTTAGTAAGATATATTTTGCTCTCACTCCCTGCTCCCAGTGACATCAAATTATTTTAGGTCACCTACATGGCTCTTCACCCTTTTTTCCTAGACTTATGTTGGGAAATCACTTCTTCCAGATGGTTCATCAGAGGATGCTAAATCAAGCAGAATTTGGCAGTAACTCTTTTGGGAAGATACTCAAAAACAGGTACTTAAGCACAGTATAATTACAAAACAGGTTGAGGTCTAAAGAAATAATGTTTAGGATGCAATTCTCTTGGGCTTTAAGCCCTATTGGGAAAATTTACGGCTAAAAGTACATCATGATGATAGAAGTATCAGGACAGATTCATTTTGCTCATTCTTAGGTTTAAATACCATTAAAACCTGTGTCTTAGATTTCCTTTTCTTTCTGTGGATGGTTGTTGCACACATTACTGAAAGTGAAATGAGGCCAGTCTACTTATGGAAAGGACATGAACAAAGACAGATTGTTCCTAGTTTATGAATAAGCTACAAGGAGTTTATTATAGCTGAATCACTGTTTAAAGCAATTATATCATCTGATCAAAACAAATACAGGAAAGATAGGCAATGGTCATATCATGCAACTCTTTGTATGTCACACTATGAAGTTTAGATATTGATTGTTAAAGGGAGAATAGGGAATGAAGAATAAGGAAATAATTAGAAGAATATTTGAGAAAATGGGAAAGACTCGATTAATTGGATAGTATGAGAGAAACTGATGTCTAAATTTCTAGTATGGGGAATCTAAAATCTCAGCATTTAAATAGTAACTGATAAGGAACAGATTGGATAGGAAAGATGATAAATTGAATTTGGGGATACGTTGTTTATGAGATGTTCATGGAATGTTCAGGTGAGTGTATTTACAATTCTGGGGTAATTTGAGAATGACCTGAACTAGAGGTACAGTTGTGGTAATTAAAAATCCTGAAAGTGGGTTAGATGACCTGGAGAGAATCTAGAGTTTAGAGTTAGTAATTGGGATTACTATCAGGGTGGGCATTGTGGTGCAGCAGATTAAGTCACAGCTTGGGACCCCTGCATCCCATATCAGAGTGCTGGTTCAAGTCTCTGTTTCTGACCCAGCAGATGAGGGCCCAACTACTTGGGTCCCTGCTACCCAATGAGGGAGACCCAGATGGAGTACCAGGTACCTGTATTCAGCAGGGGTGGGAGCGGGGATGAAACAGTGGATAGAATCTCTGTCCTTTCTCTCTCTCTCTCTCTTTCAAGTAATTTGTTTTAATCTTAAAAATTTTAGCTTGATTTACATCCTACCATATTTAGCTGTGCGGCCCTAGATGTAAATTTAGGATGGGTATGGTAGAAGGGAAGATTTGAAATAATAAAGGGGATGATATTTTGATGCAGCCAGTTAAGCTGCCACCTGTGACACTGGCATCCTATGAGTGCCGGTTCCAAAATGCCAATCTGTCCCCTCCAAGAAGCAGAACTGTTAAACTTATGTGATGTTCTGATATTGTCTGTGATTCTTTAATGTTGATTAGAAATTTTCCTGGTTTGTAGAAAAATGAGATGTTGGATAGGTCTAGAAAGCCTGTGCCTATAAACTTTTGGACTGTATTTAAATGTTTTGTCATACACTCAAAATGAGAAACTTGAGTGAGGCTTTTTATTACATAGCTTGTGTAACTATAGTCAAGTCTTCACCTGCCTGAAAGCCAGTTTTTTCCTTAGTGACTTCATCATTGCTCTTGATTTGATTGGAAAATGTAACTTTTAAAGGGCAGGCCTAGTTTTGTATTTCCCATTGTTGAAATACTTTCCTCTACAAACCTTTACCAAAAAGTTATTAATGAGTTTTGAGATTTCAGTGATTTTTTAAACAGATTTATTTATTTGAAAGAGCGAGAGAAAGAGATCTATCTTGCATTTGCTGTTTCACTCCCCAAATGGCCACAACTGCTGGAGCTGAACCAATCTGAAGTCAGGAACCAGGAACTTCTTCCCAGTGTCCCATGTGGGTACAGGGGCTCAAACACTTGGACCAACCTCTACGTGTTTCCCAAGCGTATTAGCGGGGAACTGGATTGGAAGTGGAGCAGCCGGAGACTTGAACTGGCGCCCATAGGGGATGCTGGTGCTGCAGGCCCCTGGTTTAACCTGCTGCACCACAGCACTGTCCCTCAGTGACTTTATTTTCTGTTGAATAGTAGCCAAACTCAGGTTGACATTCAAGGCCTGACTTGATTTAGACCAGTGTTGTTCAATAGAAATATGAATATATGAGCCATGTGTAATTAAAAATTTTCTAATGGCCACATTAAAATTAAAACCATGGAGCAGACTATGGTGCAGCAGGTTAAGACTCTCAGCAACTCGTACATCCCATATCAGTGCTGGTTTGAGTTGAACTCCACTTCTGATCCAGCCTCCTACTAAGGCATTTGGGTCCCTGCCACCCACATGGGAGACATGGATGGAGTCCTGGGCTTCTGTCTTCAACATGGCTCAGCCCCAGCTGTTGTGAGCATTTGAAGATCAATTAGCCTATAGACAATCTATGTCTTTGTTGTTCTACCATTCAAATAAATAAATCCTTGGGAAAAAAATAAAAAGATGCCATTATTTTTAATACATTTTATTTAACCTTACATATTTAGAAAATCTAATGTAATCAAGCATGTTAATGAGCGATTTTACATGGCTTTGAAATCTAGAATGTGTATATATGTACATATATCTAGAGTATATATACATATTTATGCATGTGTATATATATACACACACATATACATACATACTTATAGCCAGACTAACCCTGGGGTATAGGATCTATGTGCTAAAATCTGTACAGTTCGTCATCTTTCTTATAGCTTGTCTTAATTAAGATACCGCTATTTCCATTGGAAATACCTCATTTATAGTTAAAAAATTTTTTTTTTGACAGAGTGGACAGAGAGAGAGAAAGGTCTTCCTTTGCTATCGGTTCACCCTCCAATGGCCGCCGCACCGCGCTGATCCGAAGCCAGGAGCCAGGTACTTCTGGTCTCCCATGGGATGCAGGACCCAAGCACTTGGGCCATCCTCCACTGCACTCCCGGGCCACAGCAGAGAGCTGGCCTGGAAGAGGGGCAACCGGGACAGAATCCGGCGCCCCGACCGGGACTAGAACCTGGTGTGCCGGCGCCGCAGGTGGAGGATTAGCCTATTGAGCCATGCACCGGCCTATATAGTTAAATTTTATAAATCTGCAGTTGAGACAATAAATTTACATAGCCAAGTACTTGCCAGCATACTCAAAACAGGTTATTAATTTCATAAATTAAAATGTGAATCCTTCAGTTGTAGTAGCTGCATTTTCAGTCCTCCCAAATAGCCACATGAAGCCAGTGGCTATCCTTTTGACAGTGCAGGTCTATACCAACCTATACCCTTCTAATTAAATTCCAGTCCTCACCCAGGTAGCTGCATGTGTTCCAGCTAAATTGAACTGCTTGCCTCTTTCATACTTGATTCTGCATTTACTGATATTTATCCTATCATATTTCCCTTAGTTTCTCCAGCCACAATAGTCTTCTCTTTCTGTTTCTCTAATAAGCTTCTTACCTTTTCACCTTCATACTTGGCTGCTGTCTGCTTGGAACACTGTTCTGGGCTTACATATTGTATGACTTGTTCCTCCTTATTCAAGTTTCAGCTCACACCT